ACACGACCAGGACCCACAAGTAACCGAATTCACAAACACTATGAGTAACTGCCTGTTGCTACCAGCAATATCTAAACCTACAAGAATCACCGAGACAAGCATCTCCTTAATAGACCACATCTGGACAAACACCATATCTCCTTTAAAATCAGGCATAATCACAGGCAACACTACAGACCACTACCCAAACTTTCTCATAACTAATCTGGGCAAACTGCCACAAGACATTACTAAAGTAACCTTCAGACTACATAACGAGACAGCAGTTAACAACTTTATAGCAGCTATGAATAACATCGATTGGCAAAATGAGCTCGAAACATATACAGATATGAAGGAATGTATAAATAATTTTCTAAAAAAAAGCCCAATGCCTCTGTAACAGACATTGCCCCAGAAAAACTAAACAGATCGCAGCAAAGAGACTCAATAATCCCTGGCTAACACCAAGCATCCTCAAATCCATTAACACAAAGCACAAATATGAAAAACAGTATAGAATGGGTCAAAGAACTAGAGAACAGTCGAAAAGTTACTCGTCAGCACTTACCAGCCTGATAAGAAGGTCAAAAAAAATTGTGTTATGAAAATAAATTACATAACATCAAAGGTGATATGAAAAAAACTGGAAAACTCTATCTGAAATTCTTGGAACTAAAAAGTTATCCAAAAATAAAACAATCAAACTAACAAAATCAGATGAACCCCAACTCACACCAACTGAAACAGCAGACAGTCTCAATGTTCTCTTCTCCACCACAGGAAAAAAATCTAGCAAACAAAATACCAAGCACAAACACCCGTCCATCAGACTACCTCATAGGTACCTACCCAAATACGCTATTCCTAGCTCCAACCAACCCCATAGAAGTTATGCTCATCATAAACACCCTTAAAAACAAGGCAGGAGACATAAACAACTTGCCTGCTTTTATGTACAAAAAAGCTTCTCAAGTATTGTCACCAATTATTGCAACGCTCTTTAACAAATCCATTGAATCATCTACCTTCCCAACAATCCTCAAAATAGCGAGGGTCACTCCGATCCATAAAGGAGGTGACCAAGCTGACTTGAATAACTATAGACCAATATCTAACTTTCCACTGCTCTCTAAAATCATTAAAAAATTAATTCATTGATGGATCTATTCCTACCTCGTTTCACACAACATACTAAACCCTTGTCAGTTTGGATTCAGGAATAATAAAAGCACAAATGATGCTATCATACCCATGCTAGAACTAATATATACCGCACCTGAAAAGAAAGAAGTCCCGCAGGGCTTTCGATGCAGTCGACCATGAACTGCTGTACTCTAAATTAATGCACTATGGTATCAGAGGCCACTCCCTCAACTACCTAAAATCATACCTTAGTAACAGAACTCAATATGTGTATGCAAATGATATAGACTCTTCCACCCAACCAATCACAAGGAAGCATCCTTGGACCACTCCTCTTTCTCATCTACATCAATGATCTACCGAATGCATCACAGCTACTCAAACCCATATTATTTGCAGATGACACTACATATGTCTTTTCTCACCCAAACACAGTCATACTAGCAAACACAGACAATGCTGAATTGCAGAAAATATCTGCCTGGATGATGACTAACAAACTTACCCTGAACACTGATAAAACCTATTTCATTCAGTTTGGAAACAAAGCTGCAAATAATCCAATTAACATAACGCTAAATGGATCATCAGTCACAAGACTCACAGAGGGAAAATTCCTAGGTATCCACCTTGACAGTAGCCTTAAGTTCCGGACACACACACAACAAATCACCAAGAAAATCTCCAAGACTGTAGGCATACTGTCAAAGATAAAGTGCTACGTTCCACAATCAGCTCTCCTGGCACTGTACCATTCACTCATATACCCTTATCTTACATATGGAATTTGTGCATGGGGATCAACAACATCCAATCACCTAAAACCCCTCATAACCCAGCAAAAGGCAGCAGTAAGAATGATAACAAATTCCCACTCCCGCCAGCATACTCCACCAATTTTCAAAAGTCTGAATCTGCTCACCATTAAGAGCATCTATACTTATTCATGTGCCTACTACATACACAGAACAATACAAACAAATATAAACCCTCCACTCAAACTTCTCACAAACCTAAACAGGACACATGACCACAAGACACAGATCTCTTTTTGATATACCTCGTGTCCATATCACACTGTGTATAAACTCTGTGCACATAAAGGGCCCCAAAATATGGAATTCATTACCAGAAGATATTAAAGTAACCCAGTCTGAAAATCAATTTAAGACTCTTCTCAAAAGCCACTTAATCACCCTAGACTAAATGCTAAATACTCAGTACACACTTACTCACCTATGTACTCCCACATCATAACTTCAACAATCACATTGAACCTTTTATCCATTGTTGACAGGAATATAATTGAATCATTGTTTTCACAAAAGCATTTTAGAATATAAATATATCTTTGTCTTATACAAATTTTGATTCATTTATAATTAATATTCTACTGTACAACTATGAAATAATTACTATCCTACTGTACAACTATGATATACTCCTTAGTATTAAGTAGACTGTAAGCCAATAATGTTAAGTTGGCCCATAATGCCGAGGCATAATAGAGGCTCTCTTTGTATTGCAACCCACTATTGTAAATACAAAATCTCAATGTAATGTTTGCAAAGACATAAAATAAATAAATAAATAAAATAAAATTAGTGATTCTTTGTTGGCAAGAACCAAGTCAAGCAGGTTGTTTCCTCCAGTTGGTACCGTCACAAACTGTTTTTAAAAGAAATCCTGAACCGTATCTAAAAAGTCACTAGACTGAAAATTTACTGTCACATTGTTCCAAATCAATTTGTCTGACGCTAAAATCTCCCATTAACACAACATTTTCATATCTAGACGCCTTATGAATTTCGTCCCATAGCAACCTACCGCACTCCCTGTCAAGGTTTGGGAGCCTATAAATCAAACCTAAAATTAATTTTTAACGACCTTCAAGAAACTGTAGCCAAACAGATTCTGTGTCCGATGTTTCTAATCTTACATCTTGTCTAACACAACAATTTAAATTATCACTGACTTACATCACCACTCCACTACCTTTCCTGTTGACCCTATCAATGTGGAATACTTTATAACCCTGTATGTAGTATTCAGAAGGCATTTATTTATCTTTCAAGTTGAACCAGGACTCCATAATAGCAATAATATCTATATTACCTGCTCTTGCAAGTAATCTTAGCTCATCCATCTTACTTCTGAGACTCCTACTATTTGTATAGTAAACCTTAATGGAGCTAGTCACTCGTTCCCCTCTGTTATCTCTGTTTGTTGAACAATTGTTTCGCCTTTAGTAGCAACTCTATTTTCAATGTTGCCTTTTAAACATATCCCTGGGGTATTCTGATAATATCTTCAGTTTTCAACCCTATTACTGCAGCCTGATTGTTTCCCAAAAACATCCATACCAATATAATCTATCAGTTTAAAGTCCTAGACAAGTCATCAATGACCCCCTCAGTCGAATTGGCCAATATAACCACTCCATCCCCAGAGAGATGAACCCCATCCCTTGCATGCATAACATGTTTGCCATAGAATTTGCCCCAGTTATCAATGAATGGGGTTGCAAGTTCCTTGAAATACCTGTCTAGCCAGCAATTTATACTAGTTGCCCTAGACATCCATTCATTACCCACTCCCTTTCTAGGCACAATGTTACATATGATTGGGATCCCTCCCTTAGACCTGATTATTTCTATGGCTGACCTGTACTTATCCAGCAGCTCCTGTCTCCTGCCCTTCCCAATGTCATTTCCACCAGCACTAAGACAGATAATGGGTTTGTTCCCATTACCTGACATAATATTATCCAACTTGCTGACTATGTCACCAACACCAGCTCCTGGGAGACACACCCTCTGTCTGACCTTCCTATCTCTGTTACAAAAAGCATGGTCCACATATCTTACCTGAGAATCTCCTACATTCAGAATATTCTTATCTTGATTAGCAGGGGAGTCAGTGGTACCTTTAACCTCACTAACCACTGAAGTACACTCGTCCTGGAGAACAGACAATCAATTTTCTACCTTCACATCTTCCCTGTTAACCTTCCTTATCTTCCTTCTTCCTGAACTGTGAATCACTTGCCACTTAAAGTGGCTGCCACTCTCCAAATTACTGCTGGAGGTGCTGGTGCTGGACTGCACCTCAGTGCTGGTAGCCTTCTCGTCCTCCCCACTTTCAGCCTCCTCGCAGTGAATAACAGACTACACATCACTGTTGGTAGTCTCATTTCCCTCCACCACTCCAGCCACCTCACACTCACTCCCAAACCGATCGAGGTGAACCTTCAGCCTCCCTGTTTTCTCCTTCAACACTCCACCCTCAGATTTTAAAACACTGCAGAAGCAAGCCATGGCTTTGTAACCCTCTACATTAATCCTCAAAACAGCTCAGGCCCCCTGATCTGTCGTGACCACTGACCACTGACCACTGACCACTGACCACTGACCACTGACCACTAGCCATTCCATTCAGAATCATAATAGGGAATTAGTAATGACTTTTTATACAATGGCGTACAGTTTATTTTTTGGTTTAATATCTTTGTTATGCTTCCTATACCCAAGGTGTGGGCGGCAGTCGAAATATTAGAGGCACATAATGGGTCCATGTCTGCAATACAGGATTAAAGACAGGTGCAGAACAAGTTAATGTTCTAACAACGTTTCGTTCTGTGTGGTATCGATAACGCTCTACACAGAACAAAACATTGTGATAATAAAAGCTTGAGTGGCACCTGTGTCTTTACTTTCAGTTAAGCTTTAGTTTATCAGGTGAATCAACGGGCCTCTTGATCAGTTCCATGGGCTAATATTAGGCATCAGACTCTGCACTCTGCTGTCAATGAACGATGCTGATGGCACAAATAAAGTAAATGAGAGGTAACGACATTGTACTCTATCCATGTACAGGAAGTAAGTGGCACTCCCGCAGAAAGTTACTCACTCCGGCCTTCCACTTCAAGATCCTAGAGGACTTCCTGGGGGTGTTCAACACCCAGAGCAGCAAATTGGTCAAGAAACTGACGAAGGTTGCAGACGGAAACGTTTTCAACATCTTTCCTTACATAACACTTTGTACCTTGGACATCATCTGTGGTGAGTGACATGTTTTGCATTGTTGATTCACTAACAAAACTGAAAGGGACAAAAAATAAATGACGTTTCGTTCCGTCGTGGACTATTTACAAGTCAACTGCTATTTCATTTAGCAGAATCAGAACAAAAAATTCACCCCACTAAGCAGCTACCTTTCCCTCAACACTTGCATAGTTCCAGTAGGACCTGAATCTCATTTTTTTCTGTGGATACCACACAGAACAGTCAGGTACCAACTTTTACAGCGCCATTATAATGGTCCATGATTAACTGTAATGTTGTCTAGTATTAATTTACAATGTGTGAGATAGTTGTGAATGGCTGCAGTTATGTTACAAGACATTATTTTTTATGCTACTTGTAGGAATAAATTTACAAATCGCTCAAACTGGCTACAGTACACGACTATGGGGGTCACCATTCTCGGGGAGGACCTGAAGACTACAATGAGAAATAAGCAATTCTATTTGGTTTTCTTGGCTCATCTCCTTGGATATTAACACCCCAGGGTTAATTTCCAGTGGAGTCCTGCAATCCTCTCTCTCTCTCTCTCTCTCTCTCTCTCTCTCTCTCCAACCCCCCAGGGAGCAGCTCTTGTTGGTGTAAAGAAATATGACCAACATTTTTCTTAGTCCTGCATTCGAAACATGAATCCTTGAGTTCTGATCTGAAGGCCCTACCGCTTTAGCGCCTTCCTATATATAATAAATGCTTCAGACATTCAGACAGTGTGTTTTCCTCACCCTGACAGAAACAGCCATGGGTTGCTCTGTCAACGCTCAAGACAACGATAATTCAGATTACGTCAAGGCAGTGTACAGGTGAGTATTACTGACCAGCCTCTTACTACTTCTGCTTCTACTACTACAACTACTACAACAACTACTACTACTACTACTAATAATAATAGTAATTAATAATGAAGATTAGATAAACTCATTTTACAAAGTCGACTGTACATCAACACAGTGATGTGACAGAATTTGTTCTTGAGTCGATGTCAAAAGAATGTTCAAAAGCAGGTGCAAATCTGAATATATTTTCAAGCACATTTCATGTGCATCACTTCATTCTTTCAAAGGATTTTTTCAGTTATTGCAGTATTTGGGACGTTCATCAGTGTGACCACTGATAAATATTACGATATATGGACTGTAAAAGTGTTTAATAGTAATTTTTTGACTCGCAAGCTAGTTGATGACTTTTGAGATGTGAATTTGATATGTCTCACCTACACAGAGATTGTACTCACCACGCTTCTCATCCATTCTCTTCTCTTCTGTAGAATCAGTTACCTTGTGCAGCAACGGACAGCCGTCCTGTGGCAACAGTCAGACATTATTTACTGGCTGATGGGGTACGCTAAGGAGCACGATGCTTGTCTCAAGATTCTTCACGATTTTACACGACAAACCATCACCAGAAGACGCAAAGCTTACGAGCAGAGGAAGCTGAAAAGTAATGAAGAAGGCACTGAATTACAAGGTAGGAAGAGGCAGACGTTACAAGAAAATTTTGATGTTCATTTAGAGATTAGATGAGTTTCATAAATTGAACTGACTCGTCACTCTGATGAGTGTAAGCATAAATGTGTCAGCGTTGACTTTAGCAGTAGGAGTAAAGTTGTCAACTCCTCAATGGTATTGTACTTCACTGGCGGTTAAGTCATTGAAGGTGGTCAGGTTAATATAGTTCGGGTTACATCTATCCACGATGACTGTTGAAACGTCCCTTTCTTATTCTAGCTAGTTAGGGCGACGCCAGGGAAGGGTGCCAGGTAAGGGCTGGAGCCCTCCATTCCCAGTAAATTCCATCAGATCCAAAAACCCAAATAAAAAAAAAAAATATTGCTGCTTCAAGACAAATCCCTTTAGCCTCCTTCACCAAACAAAGTGACACCCCTGTGCCCCTTTTCTATACAACTTCTGGAGTCGCCACTGTTTAGAACATAAGAAAGGAGGTGCACGACAGCAGGCCTACTGACCCATACATGGCAAGTCCTTCTCAAAACAATCATTCCTACCCACCTATTTGTCAGCCTTTTCCAAAAGCTATCCAAGAATTTGCTTCAATACCTTAGGAAAGCCGCATGATGAGGCACGCTGGTACTGGCTTTAAGTTTTGCTTACAGTGGTGTTTCTGCTGTATACTATCTGCTGTATACAAAAAGTACATGTTGAGAATTAAGTGATCTTATACGCATTTCTTGTTTTGTTTCTCGTTAAGGTGAGAAGAAGCGCCTTGCCTTCCTGGACCTGCTGCTGGAGTCATCAACTGAGGGAGGGAAGAACCTGACTGACCAGGACATACAGGAGGAAGTGGACACCTTCATGTTTGAGGGCCACGATACCACCACCGCCGCCATCAACTGGATGCTCTACCTCATGGGCCATCACCCACACATCCAGGTGAGCTCTGCCTCCTAGGGTGCCACCTGAGGTGCAATAATTACACTCAGGTAGACAATGGCAAGAACCGATAAGTGAAGAAAAAGACACAGGCAGCAGAAAATCTTAATGCTACAAATAGATGACCAGTGCCTTGGTGGCTCCTTCAGCTCACACACTGAGTGTTCGTGATTAGATTTGATTTGATTTGATTGAATTGTCAGGAAATGCATCCTGACACAGGTCTTAATCCTAAGATAACCCATCCGAAGGTCTCGGAGATGTCAATATAATTCAGCTGTTCTGTGGCCTCGATCAAGATCTTAATGTAGTCCCTGTGAGTTCTTCGGAGAAATATTATTTTATGTTCAACAATGGGCTGAGACCATCAGGTCTCCCATCATTGTCTCTGGGTCTTGCGTTGGGTGGTCGGGTAAATTTGCCAGTTAACGCACTGACTCTGTTTTGCCCATCATGCATATATTAATGAAGGTCTTCACAATAGTTTCGAATGTCTCTTTGTTCCCTTTTGAGTCTATCAGGTTGCATATGATATAGGTGAAGCACGTGATAGCCGACATAATTTGATGGTTCAAGGGTAATAAGGGATGTTTTGCAATGCTCTCTTGGGCTACAGTGTTCCTCACCGGAGACTGTTGTGGTGCCAGGGTTGACGCGTTGGCTGCAGCATGGGGCCTTGAGCAGGAGAATCGCAAGCTGGCTGAGGAAGTGTGCAACCCCGTTGCTTACGTTTACTCTGCGTCTTTCGTTTCCAGCGAAGTGGCACTAAATTCCGTGTTGCTGATGCCTCCTCTAGACGAGGCTGCTGTGTAGTTGTGAAGGCTCTAATTTGCATTGGAGGTTGGGCAACTGGAGTTTTCCATGTTACCTTGATACGGCGGAGCCTCTTTGGTAGTGCAGGTTCCAGGCATGATGTTCCTTGCCGCATTTAGGACATAAAGGTTCCGTAGTTTTTACCTCCCTTCAGTTTACTCAAGCAGTTCTTGGTCGAGTGAGATCCACTGCAGATACAGCATACTTCTTTAAATTGACATCGGACGCTGAGATGGTTGTACCTGTGGCACATGAAGTACCTGAAAGGTTCTGGGTTGTACACCCTAACCAGGTGTGTTCCCCAGCAACCGAGATCCAGTTGTGTTGGAAGGGGTCCTTTATGTTATATCAAGACCTGCCTCGTAAGTATGTTGCCGTCTTTCTTCTCTCGGAGCCGCTCAGCTTTCAGAATGGTTTTGTTACATTGGACTGCATCGAGAGGCAGGTGTAGCGAACAGCGCATTAGAATGCCTTTCGTCACTCGCTCTATGGATTTCAGTTCTGTGAGAACGAATGTTGATTCGTGGTTGTTCACCTTCTGTAGTGCCTTATAGGGCTCTTTGTTTCGGTGAGTGAGAATAAACTCTCCTTTCAATTTTGGGGACACTGATATCTTCAGGCCGTATTTCCTCTCCAGGTGAATTATAGCACCGTACACGGTGTCATGGTGTTCTTTGTTGATGCAAGGAAACACTGTGCCTCCCCTTGGACTTTGAAGATCGTACTTCCTACCAACCTGCGCTATACGGTATTTCTGTAGGTGGGATGGGCATTTCTTCATTCATACCTATCTTACTGGCCAGGCTGATTTCACTTGTATCACTGATCCAAGAGCCCAGGGAGTCCAGTGAGTGGTCTCGCAGCTTCTTCGCCAAAACTGCGCCCCACATCTCCAAATCAGAATCCTAGGTTGAGTCCTTGGAAGATCATGACCTCTTACTTTCGGAAGTAGCCATGAGCTTCCGCGTGCCTCCCTCATATGGATGAACACGAGTGATAATCAGTCCCTTAGCTTTGGAGTTAGTGAAGAGCACCGTAGTCTTAGAGAAACTGATGCACAGTCATGGAGCTTGGAGCTTATATACCGGCGACGGGTGAAGGACATGCAGCAGATGAAGGCATTGTCACTGGCAGGGGGAATTTCCCAGTGGAAGTAGATGATACCCTAGGAATGGGTCAGTAGTAAGCAAGAAAGTTGTGTAGATGTCCTCTAAACCAAGATTCAACGATGTTGCAGTGTCTGACAAATTTTCCATAAATGGCATACAGTACCGACAAGATACATTAGACACTTGTGCAACATCTAGGTCTAATTCTTCATCTTGTCGGTAGTGTGTATCGTTTATGCACAACATATCACGTACGTCCTGCGATTAGCAGACGGAGGGTCGAACCACCAACCCCGCTTCATTTCTCCTGTCTTGAGTAAGTCTCTATCCTCGGACATCAGTGCTGATGGCCTTAATAACACCTTTCAAGGCTGAGGGACTGATCACCTTACACTACTTCGCGTCTTCCACCATCTCCAGTATTATTCGCTGTATTATATTGATACGGACACTGATTGGCTCCACTATACAGATGCCCAAGTGTTACATACGCGTCGAATTTTGTAAACCAATTAACATGTAATAATGGCAAAATGTCACATTACTTGCACGAGTCTTTTTGTACATGAATGGTATACAATGGAGAAAATGGTATAAAACACTGCCACGATGGAAAAATAGACATAAATGAAGCAAAATGTGATTACGCTTCGCCCACACAGTGGGCTTTATCAAGTCACATAGAACACTACCCGAGCAGAGGGAACATAGTGATGTGAAAGGTAAGAGGAATGTTGAAGCTGATTGTTGAGAAGGATCTGCCCAGCATGAGGAAATAAGTCTGATGCTATACAGGATAAAGATGAAAAAGTTTCTTGGCAAAGGGTTCAGCTATGTTGTAAAAACCGTTGTTCCGGTTGAATCTGCTGGATATACAAATGATTGGTGATTCTAAGATCCTGCGGTACTGAGTGTCTTCTTCCCTGGCGATGAGTATTGCGTCTCTTAATTTATTTAAATGGTTGTGGAAGTTTCGGTGCTGAACGGAGGTATTCCTCAGATCGTCTGTTCTGCATGTGTATTGGTGTTCTGAAGTACGTGGTTAGAAGTCTCTAGATGTTTCGCTCACGCATAATTGGTTGCAGTCATTGCAAAGGGATTATGTATACCCCTTGTGATGTTCCTTACTGATGTCCTTGGTGGTGGATGTGGAGATAGATACTTGGAAAAGATGTTGGAGACGTGTTTGGCAGCAGAGTTAGTGGGGAGGATTATGTATCTCCTCTCGGCAGTATCTCGTTTGGGTGAGTTGATGTTAAAGCCTGGCGCCTGCACTCTCTAATGAAGTGATGATAGTGAAGTTTAGAAAATACTTGCTCCATGAACGAGCAGTCTTCCTTAACTACTACAGATTCGGAGGGCACGGAGGAAGAAGCCTATAATTACATCACGTTTAGTTTTAGTGTCATAGTGAATGTGTAAGTGGAGAAGACCGTTTTGGTTGGTCGGAAGATCAACCAACATGAACATCAAGGAAAGGAGGAGTGCCGTCGATTTCTTCTTCTATTATAACTTAGATTGAGGGCTCGACCTGGTTGAGCTTTTAGTGGAAAACAGGAACGTTGAAGCGTCTGGCTGGAGCAGGAAGGTCAAGGGAGTCATCAAGCTTTCTGCGCAGGAGATCAATGTCTTGTGTAGTAGGTACCTTGGTCAATAGGGACGTTACGTCTACGCTGGAGAGTTTCTTGTTCCTGATGTTAATATTGCGGATGCGATTGAAGCGATCACCAGAGTGTTTAAGATATGCTCGACTGAGTGTACATAAAAGTTTAAAAAGATGTTTAGCAAGAATCCCTGAGAGTTGGTGAGGAGCACTGCCTATTCCAGAGGAGATGGGCCTCAGCAGAATTCTTGGCTTGTGAGTTTTCAGCAGGTCATGCATCCTGGTTGGTTTGGGGTTGCTGAGAATAGTGTGAAGAAGTTTCTTCCCGTGTTCTGAGTGCCTCTTTATGAGGTAAGTTTTACGAAAAAAAATTTGGTTGGGTTGTCCACTGTCGAGTACAGAAACCGAAGCCCTCAGCTTAAGCCTCAAATTTGCTACACTAATGAAGAAACCGAAACAAGACCTCCACTTCACCTCTAAAAACTACAGACTATCTCTCCCTCCAGGCTCGAGTTCATGAAGAACTGGACAGCATCTTCGAAGGAACAGACCGACCAGCCACCATGGATGACATCCGACAGATGAAATACACTGAGAACTGCATCAAGGAAGCTCTCAGATTCTTCCCGTCTGTTCCTTACATCGGCAGACATCTCAAGGAAGACATCGTTATCAGTGAGACCCTTCCTACTTTCTTTATATTATCACTGTTACTTGAAGACCACCTCTGATAAAGGAACTGAAGCTATCTTCTCTTTCCTTGGATCCAAACTGATTTCCTCGTATTTCCCAGATGCAACCCTTTAATAATAATACTACTACTAATAATAAAAATCATCTCATATCAAAAAACTTAATTAAACCAATAAATATTAATGCCTGTAATCATTCAACCAGTTTAAAACTACTAAGTAATCCCTATTGACTCAAGACTAGTAAATCGTTTTAAAATATTAATCCACTTTTAAAATTGGACTGTGTAATATTGTAAAGTGTAATACTTTTATTTGTTTCTTGCTACCCCTCTACTATAAATCTTAATAATTATAAAATTTTTGTCTACCTCTCATTTGTAATAATGTAAAATAATGAATAATAAAAAAAATTGACGACTCCATAACATATACAGTTTTAAGTAGTGTGTTAGTATTGACATTAGTCTGCGAGGCATGCTGAGGCATGCTGAGGCATGCTGAGGCATGCTGAGGCATGCTGAGGCATGCTAGTGGCTTTCTTTGTATTCAACAGTATTTTATAATATGAAAAATCTCACACTGTATAATATGCACAGAAATAAAATTTGTATGTGTAAGAATATGTTGGAGGAACGTTAGTTAAGTAATGCTGAACACAGTCACTTACAGCAGCCTACAACAAGAAC